GTCGCTGCCCGGTGCCCGAGGGCCACTTTCCGGGCCACCTGGTGGACGTCAGCGGCACGGGGACGCTGTCCCAGAGCTACCAGTACGAGGTGTGTCAGAAGAGGATCTGGGACCAAGGAATTAAAATTTTTGAAGTCTGTTGTCTCCATCCAACAGAAGTCTGTGAATGATGTGGAGATGTGGAGGAAAGCTCACATTTTGTAAATAATTTTGGATTTAGTTAGGAATTTGGATGAAGGTTAGTTCTTTCTAAATATGATAGATCTCCATTAACTTTTTTGGTTTAAATAGAATGTCTTGAATGTTTTGCTGATCCTATATTCCTATTAAAGGGATTAGAAATATTCTTTAAGCATGTCCTCATATTTACTCTCTTTTGTCATTTCTATTTTGATGGAAACAAAGAATTTTCAACTTTATTGCATTAATGAAAAATCATGAACATGTGGTTCAGTTTATCAACTTTTCATTATTGAGCATTGTTGATTTGAAGATGACTCCAGCTCCATCCTCTATATGATTGTTATATGGAAGCTCTAAACTTAAAAGAAATGTTTAATTCAGAGAGAAGGGGCAGAGAGAGAGGGAGACACAGAATCAAATGGAAGCCCCAGACTCTGAGCTGTCAGCACAGAGCCTGATGTGGGGCTCAAACTCACTAACTGACATCAGGACCTGAGCTGAAGTTGGAGGCTAAAACGACTGTGCCACCCAGGCACCCCTGGAAGCTCTAAATTTTTGATGCTGTGGTTACTTAGGAGGCATCATGATATTAATATAATGGAACTTCTGTTTAATCTGATATTAATTAAGCTTACCTGTCTTAAATTTTTAAATGTAAAAAATCTGCAAAAAGTTCATATTTTGTTTCTTGGTAGTATTAAATAGAAAGGCTACAATTTCTCCCATACTTAAGGGCTTTTCTTCTATAACATCTTTCAATATATCATATATATGAGTATTATTAGATTATTAGATTATTTCAAGAAATTTAAATGATAAAACCCTTTTGTCTAGCCCACCTCGTCATGTTCAGTAAACTCTTTTAAGTAGAAGTGTACTGTTGTATCCATGTTTATTTCACCCATTTCCCTCTGTGACTTCAGACAATCAGACAAGGTGGTAGATATTGCTAATTTATGCTAAGCAAATCTGACTCTTGTTTAAAAAGTGGCTTTAGAAATCAGATCTAAAATAATTTTTCTGTTAGGAACTTAACAAGAATGTGATATTACGTTGGCTAAATAAATGGAAAGAAACACAGAAAGTCAATACACTTAGAGAAAAGAAGGAGATGCCTAAATATTAATCTTATAGATTACTCAGTCTCTTCCAAATCTTCTTTCTCCCTTGGGTTTTTGGAAACAAATATGTCTCTTTTAATAAACTCCTTTTAATTATGATAGCTCAGTGGATTTTTCCCTTGTCAAAAGCATGTTTAGATATTCTTGCATGGGTTGAACTTTACTATTAATTGGAGAATTTTAATTTAGGATTTTTATATTAATATAATATTTGGGATCAAAATCTTGTGGAATATTAGTATTCTTTAATGGATAAGCATAAGAACATTTTGTTAAAATGTATGATTTTCAGAAGAATAGATGACTATTTTAAAATTTTACAATTTTTGGAATGTCTTATAGAAATTCTTTGAAAATTCTACTATGTAAGAGTTTAATATAACTAGTGTCATAATAGCATTAGTGTAAAATAAGATTGACAATGTAAAATGTGTTCTTAAAGACATGTATACCTTATTTGTAGAATCTTTATAACCTGTTTGTCATGTTCTGTTTTTTGTTTGTTTTTTAGAATCTGTTCCATTACAAAGGGGAAACCAGAGTGTTTTTCCATTTAATGAACATTTAGATCATTCTGTATTATTGCAAATTACTATTCAAAAGAGCATAGGAAATGGCTACTTGGCAAAATGGGGTCTTGTTTATTCAGATCATATAATGAACTATGGTCTCAGCAAAAAAAGGGGCTTCTAAAGTAGGAAGAGAATCCATCTGAGAATTTTAAAATTAATTGTGATTTATTGATTGATCTATTCAACAAATATTTGTTGAGCATCTGCCATGTGTCAGGGACTCTTACAGATGTTGGGGGATGTAGAAGTCAACAAAACAAAGTTCTCAAGCACAAGAATGACACAGAAAAAAATTAAATATGTATGTATATGCTATATCAGATGTTGATCAATGCTAAGAAAAAGCAGGGTAAGAGTTATAGGAAGCACCCTCATATGTATTTTTCCATAGTTTGAAAGTTTCATAAGATCATAATTCTCTGACCTTATGTTGAAATGGTATCATAAACTGGAACTAGTAGCTTTTTCTTTGATATTATTCAACCAATGAAACCAGAATTCTGTGTATACACTGCCTAGAATTTGAAGAAAATCTAGAAGAATTAATCCTATCCTTTTTGATGAGGGAATTTTAAGAAATCAGGTAAGTATATACTGTTATTTTTATAAGATGACTTATCACTGTTGTCTTCTTTCACTTCTCAGCTTTCTGAGCACCTCACCAGACTAAAGGTTTTAAAAAGCAGGGACCATGTTTGAGTTGCTCAGTTATCTGTTTCAAAACTTAATACATAGATACCAATAACACTTCTTTTAACAAAGGAATGAACAAATATAATTGCGTGATGTTCTGAATGCATCATATCCTCCAAACCATTTCCAAATTCCTAGTAGCCCGCTAATTATCTAGAGGGAATAAAATTGTAGCAACTATTTTCGAAAATAACGCATGGTGGCGCTGCAGGCTAAGGCGTAAAAAAAAAAAAAAAAAAAATCCCAGGAACTGCTACGAACTTGATCCAGATCTACAGCTGAAGACAAAAGCCTGTAAGCAGAGTTCGGGACCTGTTAAGTCTTGCTACTCACCGTCATTTCCGGACGGGTTACCGACTAAGGGATCTATCACCGTCTCTACGGTAGAGCTGAGTCCTGTTTCTGGAAAGACATTTGTGGAATTAAAGATGGAGGTCGGGGACGAGTGTTTTCCTAAACAAAGGCAAGTCCTGATTCTCTTTCTTGTGTTGGGAGTGGCTCTGGCAGGCTGGCAATCCCATCGCTATTCCGTGATGGAGGAAACAGAGAGTGGCTCATTTGTGGCCAACCTGGCCAAGGACCTGGGGCTGGAAGTTGGGGAGCTAGCAGCGCGGGGAGCCCGCGTGGTCTCTGAGGATAATGAAGACCGCTTGCAGCTTGATCTGCAGACCGGGGAATTGATATTGAATGAGAAACTGGATCGGGAGGAGATGTGCGGCCCCATAGATCCATGTGTAATGCATTTCCAAGTGTTACTGAAAAAACCATTGGGAATATTTCGAGCTGAGCTACTGGTGAGAGACATAAACGATCATTCTCCTGAGTTTCCTGAAAGAGAAATGACTCTGAAAATCGCAGAGACTAGTCCTCCTGGGACCGTGTTTCCTCTGAAAAAAGCCCAGGACTTGGACGTGGGCAAAAGCAACATCCAAAATTACAGTATCAGTCCCAATTCTCATTTCCATGTTTCTACCCGCACCTTGGGGGATGGCAGGAAATACCCAGAGCTAGTACTAGACAAAGAGCTGGATCGTGAGAAGCAGGCCGAACTCAGCTTAACCCTCACAGCGCTGGATGGCGGCTCTCCACCCCGGTCTGGCACCGCCCAGGTTCGCATCTTGGTCTTGGACGTCAATGACAATGCCCCTGAGTTTGTACAGACAATCTACCAGGTGCAGGTTCCAGAAAACAGCCCTGTAGGTACGCTCGTAGTCAAAGTCTCTGCTAGAGATTTAGACACTGGGACAAATGGGGAAATTTCATACTCCTATTTTTATAGTTCCCAAGAAATAAGCACAACTTTCGAGCTAAACAACCTTTCAGGAGAAGTTCGACTACTTAAAAAACTAGATTTTGAGACAATATCTTCATATGAGCTGGAAATCGATGCAATTGATGGTGGGGGACTTTCTGGAAGATGTTCTGTCTCCATTGAGGTAGTGGATGTTAACGATAACTTCCCAGAACTAACTATTTCATCACTCACCAGCCCCATTCCTGAAAATTCTCTGGAGACAGAAGTGGCCCTGTTTAGAATTCGAGACCGAGACTCAGGGGACAACGGAAGGATGACTTGTTCCATCCAAGATGATCTCCCCTTCCTCCTGAAACCATCAGAAGAGAATTTCTATACCCTGGTATCAAATGGGGCGCTAGACAGAGAGACAAGAGCCCAGTACAACATCACCATCACCGTCACGGACTTGGGGACCCCCAGGCTGAAAACGCAGCACAACATCACCGTGACGGTGTCCGACGTCAACGACAA